AAACTGAACAATACGCTGGAATCGAGATTGGGGCCTAGAAAATACAATGCTGTGTGATCAGTTAGATTAAGGATATGTATGACATAAGATAAATTATCTCAATGAATTAACAGTTATTGTGGGATTTTGAATACGTACAATATAAGAAATTATTATGGTAATGTATATTATTAATAATAATATTATTGTGATATGTGTAATGTTTATTAGCTTCTTTAGTTTTAGATCCAGATAAGTCAGAGACTTATCATCAGGCTTCGCCGTACAGAGTGCATCAGGAATAGTGCAAACGAATTTGTGGCGAGTATAGAGAAAACATGTGGTTTAACAAGTAGAGATTAATAAAGTGAGTACAATTATGCGGGATACATATCAATTATGTTTGCAACTACATCAAATTTAACAATAGTAGTACATTCTATATTTAAAACTGGGAATGGTGAGGAGGCACGTTTTGACCAGGTGTTTTTTGTTGTTGTTTTTGTCAGGTATTCTTCTTCTATTTCACAGGATGCGATATGCCAGTTTTTTTGCTTCATCTCAAAACAGTTTACATGAATCAGAATCTCTAATGGGATAAGAAATTCTTATTTATTTATATTATTTAAGGGAAATGTTGTTCCTTAGTTCCAACTGTCCCCCTTTTCCGTTTCTTGGAAATTTTGTCCCGTTTGTACCCTTGTCCCACTGTCACTCGTCCCACTTTGTCCCCGCTCACAAGCTGACTCCGGAGCGAGAAAAAATTGAAAACAAGAGTCCTTTGTGGCTAATGTTCGTGAGAAGGGAAGGGCTTCATTTCTTTCGACATGGCATTACGCGCGCCCAAAACGGATAAACGGAGATACGAGCTTTCAACACTATGGTTCTTTAGGTCCGACTGCCTTGCCTCCGCCCACCGGCCCGGGTGGAGGCGGCGCGGCGGTTGATTTTACATCCGGGGAGCCTGATGGCACGAGATACTGCGTCGCAAATTCCTAGAAATTCTCGGAACATGTTCTTCTTATCGTTATTTTGCATTCATAAAAATATAAAATAATTTTGCTTTAATTGACCTTTACGTTTTCCCATTCTTTTCGCCCTTTCGTTTTTCGTCCTCTCTTTTCCTCTTTCATTTTCGGTTCTTCGTTCATTTCGTCCTTTTCGTCGTTTTGATTTTTGGTTTTCGACCTTTATCGTCTTTTTTTTTCTTTTCCTCTTCCCTTTTTGTCCTCTTCGTCCTTTTTAGAAATAAATTATGTAATACTTAAAGAGAAATAACAATTTAGATCAATTTATTTTATCTTAAACTTGTGTGTGGGTGTGTGGGGGCGTGGGCGTGTGTATATATATATTGTAAAATATGATTTACATAAATTAAGCAACAACATGGTCATGGATATCCGTATAGTACGACCGGCCTGTATTATACAGGCGACCCGTATGAATGCGGGTGGGTTTGACCCGTGTGTTCCTGAAACGGAAAGGCAGGTGGGTTGGCAGGTCTGTGGGCTGTGGGTATTCAGAGCTCTAATATAAAGTGCTCTCAAAAACGTAATATCAGATATCCATTTCAAATTTGCAGGGTTTTGAGTTGGGACGGATTTGTTGGGGAGTATCAATTTTGGAGAAAAACATCTAAACAAATTAGATGATAGCCTTGACTGTAAACAGATAGATAATTTTGTGATAAACCAATTTTTTGAAATCAAGAGCTCATAAAACATGGATTCTTACTGCACAACATGTTTGAGGAATAATTTACTACATATGGGAACAAGATTTATCCACCTTTTTTGTATCAAGGCCCCATGTTACAAGTTTTTTGGATGCAAAATCAGTACTTTCCAATGCAGCATCACAAATCCTCCTCTTGACTATATAAGTTGGCAAGAAAATAAAATTAGACTAGATGACCGCTTTCCGCAGTATAATGTTCTCCATTCAGTGATCTCCTGCCTTATTGGCCATTATTCTCTGAAACCAAACCTGAAGTGGTGACTGACCGCTTAAGACAGGTTTCACTGTATCTCTCATTTTATTCCTGAAATTCAATGGTATTGTTTCTGCTTGCTCAGATTACTACAAGGAACAATATATATGAAACCCACATACGTCAGACTGTCTACAATGAAGAGCAGAAATGGCGTGTACACAGTTTTTGTACAGCCTGTACACAGTACAGGCATGATTTGCAAAGATGCAATGTTTCTTTCTTGGCTTTCATCAGACAGTTTTTAAATAATTCAATCATATCAAAGGCTTAGTTTCTGTTAAAACAGTTTTTCTACAAATGGAGGTAGTGGGTGAAAATTGTAATTAGAAAAGTTACATTGTCTCAGAATTACTTTCCGTACAATTTTTGGGCTTTGTTATAACATCATTATTTATTTCACATTATTAATTAATATAATTTCAAAATAGTTGCTCCTTCAAGGCTTATTTCTTCTTTCACTGTAAATAAAGCACCCTTACCAGGGAATCCTTCTTTAGAACTCTTTCCTAGAACCTCACCGTAGGGTTAATAAAGATTTCTCTGTATTTGATGGAAGGGTGGGAAACCAATTGATAAAAAAATTGGAACTAATTTAAAATGTTCTCTGCAATATTATATATTAAGTGAAACTATAATTAAAAAGAACCAAGAAAAGTGCTGCTCAAATGTAGAGGTACCTATACCATGTACTTCTATAACTCGTATTATATTGCTTGTGAAAAAATGAAGGTTTTTCTAGTTATCTCTGCACCCAAATATTGTGGGTTAACAACTTTTTGTCTTGGTAGTTACTAGATTACATATTCATACATGTTGGGAATTTAAACAATGACTATGCTTTAAGTACCTAATTTATTTTTAATACTGTGTACAACTAATTTATTCTCTTTTGAGTTAACATAGTCCTTTTTTTTCCAAATATTTTTCACTGATTTTACATTCTCCAGTGTTTACTTCATTCAGTACAAAATTTAGAAAGGTCTTTTATTGTGTAAAGAATGCATTAGTTTCATATTTTCATAACTGTTTCAAAACATTTTCATATTCTAATATATACTACTGTATTCATCAGCGAGTTCTGCAATTCTAGTGATAAGCATAATGGTTTCATTCAGGGTCCAGATTGTGATACAGTAATCTACAACTAATTTAATTACACAGACAACATTAGTTGGCAAACACGCAGCAATATGTAGGCCTTATTTCAAGTGTGTTTTATGCTTCATTAGGAGAGATATGAGCTGCTATCATTACAGTCATTCAATATCACAAAATAGGCAACCCCATTGCTCTCAGTGTGTTAAAAATATACTGATTTCATTAGCATTGGCCGAATTGCTGAACGTGATTGTAAATCGTTTAGTCAATCAGTACAACAGACCATAAGAACCTTTATAAATCTGTTAAGTGATTCAATATTTAAAATGTTTTTCAGGACATTTTATTATTAGAAATAATTGTAATGAAATAAAACTAGAAGTAGAAAACAAAAACTGGAGAATGGTAATTTTGTTTTACAAATTATAGGAGTGAATGAAAGTTCTAGTACATTGTACTAGTAACTAAATCTTGTTACCATGAATGTGATTATTTGTTTTTAGTCTACATTTTCAAAAAAACAAAAAGGAAAGAAATAGTCTCAAACTGAGAAATTCTATAATCAGAAGATATATTATGCCCGTTTCGTCACCCAAGAAATACCTCCTTTCTCCGCTAGTTGATGAAAGGAGCGTAGCGAAACTGGCGTGGTCAGACGGAAGAACAGAAGTTATTGTTGTATTTTTTTCATGTTCAGAATAATTCAGAATTATTTGTGTTAAAAATGTGAACCAACAGGAGAAATTGGAAGAATGAGCTCCAAAGAATGTACAATAATCCAATGCTTCATTCTACTTTTAGCTTTTGAAGTTGTATCATAACAGTGGAAAAGATTTTTCATTTTAAATGGCACTCAAAAGAAAGTAATAAATGAAAAGTTCTTTTAGAAGCAACTTGAAGTGTTTGAAATTTTCTTTAATGCACTGACAATTGTTAAATATTTTGTTTATATGTACTCACTGAAATTTTATAAATATGAATTTAAAATGGTTGAGATATAATAGTTCAGAAGCATTTTCATAAGTTACTGAATTAGACTGTAATTCATAAACATGCATTACTAATGTTTCTTAAATCTCATTGCCTTCAACAAATGGCTTTCTCCAGTGTCTTTGGTGCTGTAAGACATCAACTAACAATATCCAGGTGACACGGTTGTCCACTTTTAAATGTGTCTGTTTTTAAATAATTTTATTTTTCGAATTTAATGCTCTATTGGCAGAAGGGTACTGTGCCCTGTTAACGCCCAGGCCCAGGACCCCAGATAGCTGTTAAAAAAAATAAAAAATAAATGTTTAAAAAAAATAACAACCATTAACTAGTTATATATATTAAACTATATACAAAAAAAATTGGCATAACCGAGTGATGTGTCATGTATCATTGGATAACGTTTATGGAATTAATATGGAATGTTTAAATTTTTTGTTTGAATAACATTGAATTGAAACACTTAAAAAATACAAGGTAAATTGTTAGGATTTTATTTATGTTTAAGCATTGAAATATGAGGGGGGAAGATCGATGAAAGTAAGGATAGGGGGGCCCCAAATTAACCTAGTCCCAAGAGCCCTCAATGCTGTTAATACGGCCCTGGAAGGATGTATGGTATTTATGTATCTGCTGTGTGGATGCACCCTCCCCTCCCAATAAAAAGCTTTTCTCAAAACATTATCTTTGTCTAGAGAAAACATACTTATAATCCCTTCAAATTATTATGTAATTTGCTATGCATGCTTTTCAAATGAGGATGGGAATCTATGTCTAAAAATTATTTGTAACCTTGTGATCTGCGATCATGTTCCTCTATTTTTCTTCTAAATACTGTCTGCATTTTGAAAACATTCTCATTGAAAATTCTTAAATGTTCCATATTCAAATTACCACTTAGAGTGAACAGTCCCAAAACTGTTATTACAATTTTTTATGCCTATTAGTCGTATGAAGAAAGCTGGGAAACAGATTTTAACAGAACTTCATAGTAGTAAAAAAACAATGCAGAGAATTTTCTTTATCCAAAAATGTTGGAGTCGCATATCCAAGATTGGTTTCTAATTAATAGTAGTGTTAAAAAATCATTTGATCAATAGGGGTTTTTTTCCTTGTTAGAGTTATTACATTCTGTTACTGTTTCCAGTCGTCTTCCTTTTCTTGTACCTTAATACATTGGCATATTTTAATCCAATCTTCCTAGTAGTAATTCATTCACTTGGCAATACAAATTATACACCAGGAATGGAAATGATCTCATGAGTGACAGAAGACTCATTAATTCTCAAGATGGAGAATACACAAGTGTGTTGCGCATAAATTAAAAGATTAATTAACTATTTATAATTAAGAAAAAAAAATACAGTAGTGATGCAAAAAGGCATACCTTATTTTTATTTGGGATTTTGAGCAATACTTGTTCTTATTAGTGTAAGATCATTCTTGTGTAGTTTACAAATTTTTCTTTCAAATGTGTTATGTGGATAATAAAAATGTCTTGGAAGTTGTTTGTGTAAGCTTATGTTAGTCTTTTGTCATATTCAGAACAGACATTTTCTCAAAAGATAATTGTTTTTTCTTTTATATTTCAGAAATCCCATTGCTAGTTGTAGACACATCTGGATTTGATCAAGAAGAGAAAGAATATCAGGGATCCAAATGTAATGAATGTGAAGCTGAAATTGTTGCACTACTTGTTAAGCGTCTTACTGATGCTGGAGTTCTTGAGAAAGATGTGTCAGTAATATCTCCATATAATTTGCAGGTTGTAAATTTGTTTCTTTATGAATTTCTTATCCGACTTCTTATTTTGAATTCTAAATGAAAAATGCTACTTAATTTCTAAAATATTGCAGGTATCATGTATCAAAGCAAAAATCAGTAATTACCCTGGTGTAGAGGTACGCACAGTGGATGGTTTTCAAGGTCGGGAAAAAGAAGCTGTGATAATTTCACTTGTGCGTTCAAACAAGAAGAAAGAACTTGGATTTTTAACCGACAAGCGACGTTTGAATGTTGCTGTGAGTCGGGCACAATGTTTCTTAGCTGTTGTTGGAGATGTGTCTACTGTTGGAACAGATGATACAATTGGCAGCCTTTTAAACCATATGGAAGAAAAGGGGGTTACTTATTCTGCTCACGAACTTTCAGATGGTAATATAAAGTTGCATTCTTTGTAGATAGTATTTATTTACATTCTTGTGCTACTAGGAAAATGTTTGGGAATAAACATCTTTGATAATAAATTAAAATTCTTCCATTCTTCATTTTTAGAATTGAGAAGTAAATTTTAGATCATTGAATGAATTAGTTTACAATTAACTATAAAGAAAACATATTTCAAAAGAAAAAAATATGTTTAAATTTGTTCAGCCTTTTCTCTTTTCAATGTTCAAAGTATCCTACCAATAAATTGAAATATGTTGTATGTAATTTTAATTTTTATAGTTTGAATAAATTAATATGAGTCTCAATGTCAGTCTCAACTCAAAATCCATAGTATTCAAAACAGTATTCCTGAGATTAAGACTGCTTCTGAATAAAACTACTCAATTCCAGTCAGAGTATGTCCATGAATTATTGTCGTTTCATATTTTTCTTTTATTCTTTCCTTATTAATTACATTAATAACAACAACAAAAGTAACTAATACAAAGGATTTACAACTGTTATTATAATAATGACATTTTTTATTATAAAAGATAAACTGCAAAGATGTCAACTATTTGTTAAAAGGATTGTTTTGCTTTACTTTTTTTATGTTTCGAGTTCTTTCTACTTTCTCATATACTACTTAAATAGTATAGAGAAAATATTGTAATGCTGCATCTAGAAACGATGATTTTTTGACTCTAAAAGTCATTTTGTGAGTCCCTGCCAATAAAAAGTGAATAATTCTTGCTTCTCTATGTAGTAAAATAGTTTCTCTAATACATTGTGTAGTCAGAATCCACGTTTTGTGGGTCCTTGATACCAGAACTGTGTTTTTCGGCAATCTGTCTGTTTGTTCGTCCGTATGTAAACACCACTATTCAAAAGATTTTCACCAGAATTGATATTTAATTCTAATGGTTTCCTGACCATAATAAAAACAGATACTAACAAACAAACAAACAAATTTTACTTTCTTGCCTTACTAAGTAAGAAGAAAAAGTTGAAAGAATTGTAATTCCCCTGAAGTGGATGATTTTCCAACTAAAATGCTTGGGCCATGGTAACAAAAAATGGATGAATCTTGTTCCTATATGAATATGTGCTAACAAAAAGGTTCAATGACACATTTTGCCGGTTTTAACTTAACGTTGGGAAACTGTTCTTAAAATATAAATTGAACTTTCTATGCATGAAAGTTCATTGTCAGTGAACTCCCTGATGTCTGTAAAGTGTCTTTCAACTATTAGTGTTAAGAAAAAATTATTGATGTCTAGAACTTTGAACCTTTTTGCTTGCTCTTCAAAATTTGAAGCTCCTGGACCTCGAAGGTTTTTTTGTTTTCTCTGATTCATATGTAGTAATTTACTTCTTCTAACACATTGTCTAGTCAGAATCCATGTGTTATTGGGCTTTGATACCAAAAAATTAATTGACGACGAAAGTCTGTCTGTGGTCAACATATGAGCCTGAACTGTTTAGCTGATTTTCTCCAAAATTGATATTCCTCAATCAATTTGAAGGAACTCAAAGTCATCTGAGTTTGAAACAAATATTTTGATTTGTACATTACACCATTCGAAAAAAATTTCTCTCAAATTAATATTTTTGTTTATTAAACTGTCCTTAGCGTAAAGGAAGCTTAAAAGAATGGCATAGGTCTCATTTTTATTGAAATCACTGATTTTTTTGAAAGTTGCAAAGGTTCAAAATTTTGTCCGTGTTTCCCTACTATGTACTACAGTATTAAAAATAGATATTTTCCACCTTAATAAAATATGTTGCTCAAAGACATATTTTCTTATTCAATATCTTGAAATAAGGTCATGTACAATTTTTCAGAAATATGAATAGTTTTTGCGTAATTTTTGTAAATATCAATTGATGTCAGATCGTCCATCCTTCTGTCTGTCCATGTTGAATATTAATAGAAAAATACTCAAAGAGAGTTAATGAAGTGAATCATTGGGCTTAATGCAAGAAAATGGTTGAGAATCCTTAGTCTGAATCGTTCAGATTATTTTCTTTAAAACTAATATTCCACGATCGATCTGAATGAACTTCAGGTCCTTCGAGTTTGAAATGGATATTTTTATTTTTGAGAGTACTTATATAAAGTCTCAAACACATTAACAAAATTTTCGTAAAAATTTCTCCAAAAATTCAGCTCTCAATTTTGTTCATGTCTGGATTTGTTTTTTTAATTTCACTTGTGCAAGTTTTTTTGACGTCTTTTTGCACTACAATATTGAAGATGAAGAGTTTCCCCTCAATGAAATCTTTTCTTCAAAGACAGGTTTTAAAATAGGGTCTTGAACAATTTTTCTAAAATATGAGTAGTCTTCAAGTAATTCTGTATGAATTGTAATAAAAAAATTTTTAAGTCATTTTTATCAATGACTCCAAATTTTTTTAAAATTGTTTTTCCTTGGATAAAGCAAATTATACTTAAACAAATGACACAGGTCCTGTTTACAGGAAACTCTCTGTAATTTTGAAAATTACAATTACAAAAATTGACTTTCCAAAACTACAATTTTGAAAATAGTGTTATTTTTTTACTTTGTTGCCCAAATGAACGTAAGAAATGAAAATATAAGTATTGTAATTGTGCACCAGAAAATGGTAAATTTTTAACAGAAATACTTCAATTGTCACACCCTGATTACAAACTAGTGGATAAATCCTTCCCCCGATATGTGTTGTAAACTACTTCCTTTAACATGTTGTGTAGTCAAAATCCATGTTTTGTAGACCATTGACACCAAAAATTGGTTAAACAACAAAACGTATCTGTCTGTTTACCCGTTTGTCCAATATATTTTTCGATTTGGGATACTTTAAGTGAAGCCCCAACAATATTTTGAAAACATTTTTAAAAGTAGCTCTGAGTTTTCAAATGAAAGTTTGTCCTAGCACAAAGAACGCTTAAGGGAATGATGCAGGTTTTATTCTATTTGAATTTTTATTTTATGTAAAATTGTGACAGTTCAATATTTTTCTGCTTTTTCCTAGGACTATTGAAAGTAGTGATGTTTCCTGAATAAAATCTAATTCTTTAAAAACAGATCTTGAGTGCCAGTGCATGGTCAACACTAGAGCCTAAACCATTTCTCCTAAATTGATACTCCCCAATTGATCTGAACGAACTCGAGGCTTTGGGAGTTTCGTAAGCGAGAAAGTACATGCTGTTTTAGCACCACGAGTTTATTTTAACTCAATGTTTCAACCCCTGATATCAGTTTTCATCAGGTGTAGACTAAATAATGAAAACGTGAAATAAAAATAATAATATATTTTCTCGGATCTAGGTAAAAAGAATGGATTGGCAGTATGAATTGATGTATATTAAATATTCCCTTTCTTTTGCAAGTATTATTTTAGTTTAAAGATTGAGATACAAAGTATTAATTAAAAATGACACTATTTTAATCATTGGGTGGGTGTTATGTAGTAGGGTGATAATGACACATATGCAAATATTAAACAAGTACAGTTCAATGTTAACAATCCAGATTAATTATAACTGGATCTGCTCCGGATATCAAATTGTCTGAATTTTCAAAATCAACCAATAAAAGAGCTGGTTGACATCTTCAGCATAAAAAGTACTTTGTGCCAAAATGTTTGATAATTCACTCCAATGATTACAGAAGTTTAGCTGATGAATTAATGTAGTAAAATGTTTGTGGTTAATTACAGAAGAAAAAAACTGTGCTTGAAGTATGGTATTGAATGTACAATCTCTGATTTTATATATTATAGATCTAGACCTACAAAAAAAATACAGGACATAAAGTAAACTTTTACATACACACACTAATCACTTCATGCAATTTTATTTTCAACAAAATCAAATCTGGATTTTAATGTCTAAATTATTTTTGTTCTACTGCATTGTAGTATATCCCAACCGGAACCAAGTAATTTGATTCAAGATTAGTTTGAGACATTTCTTCTTCTCATGATGTGTTGTACAAAAGTGACTCATGTTGTAATGGAATGGTATTTAAGATTTTATTGCACATTGAAGTAATTAATAGTTTTAGAGCTATTTTAATTTAAGTAAATGTCAATTTATTGTATTATCTTCCAATTTTGTTTTGTTCACTAAGTTTACTCTACAGGAATTCCTGTTCATTTATTTAGTAACTTTAAAATCTTCTCCCTTTTTTAAAACTAACATGTAGAAGGTTAAGTTTGCTTCATGAATGACTACATTTTACGTTTAGTTGGTCTGACTTCTGTGAACAATAGTAGAAGCAAAGATTTATCAGTAATGATGAATGAATGTAATCCTGGAGAAAAAATTGAGATTAACATATTTGCTAGAGAAATTCTTCATATCATCTTGCTAATCTTGTGATCAATTTTCTTAGAAAACTGTAATTGCAGAAACTATTAATCATAGGAAATGTGTATAAGTTTTGAAAGTTTGCCTTTGGTGTTCCTCCAGAAATAAAGCGCTCAGTATCGAAAAGGAGTAATAAAATAGAGCAGAGAAATCTTAAAGGAAGGTGTAAAATGTAAGTGTGAAGAGCCCAGTCAAATTGGACCAAAAACTGGTGATCGAAGAACAAAAATCCTGGTGTTTTGAAACATGACGTGATTGTTAGTTGGTACTTACCGCATGTTAGACTAAAATCATGAAGTGGGGGGGGGGAGCCGGAGTTGGAGAGGGGAGATCGTTTAAAGGTAGTTTTTCTAGTTTTATGCCTATGTCTCCATAACTATTAATTCTATCCAAACTTATGTTCTTTACAAAATTTAAGTAGCTAAAGTTCCTACAAGACAGTGCATATAAGGTTTTGTTGTGAAATTAAACTTTCTGAAGTGATGCACACTGCACAGTTGCATACAATTTTTAAGATTCTTTTCTCATTTTAATATTGGAAACAATAAAAATGCTGAAGCTTCACGTTTAAGGATAAGGTGAACAGATATTGTGAAAGGAATTCGGCTCAAGATTTCTGCATGCTTGTGCAGAAATCATAACACTGAGGAGTGTAATTCACAATCAGTTTGACATTATGCATTGTGTGGAATGCAGACATACAGCTATCTAAAATTCTTTGTGTTGATATGGACATTTGTTTAAACTACTATATAAATGAGTATTAATTGAATTTATCAGAATAAGGATTTTTATGTTTCATAGACCTGAACTTTGTGAAGCTAATTAAGTATTTTGTGGCAGTGAAAACTGCTTAAAAAAACTTACAACTTTTGGGAAATGTTAGAACTTAATTTTCATGCTTCCTTTTTTTGTCCAGTTCAGGGATTAATTGTAAAGCTCTATCTTTCTACCCTTCAATGATGTCGTATTTGATCTTCCAATTTCCTTTTTTTGTGTCTTTCAAATAGTTTTAAAATAAATCAGTTAACTTATTTTTCTGTTTTAGGAGTATTTTGGAATTTTTTTAGTTCTTATTTCTAAAAATGTGTCTTGTTTACAGACATAGATGCGCTCAATTTGCCTAGTTTCATGTCACAACATGAGGATGTACCCAAGAAGAAGAAATCCAGATCTAAATTTCCAAAGAGAGATAAAGGAAATGAAGGTAAATGTAGGGAGTCTGTGCCACTTACTAGAAAACAAAGCTCCACTTGCAGTCTTCTTGATAGTAGTGTTGGAAAACTTCAAGCAAAAGGCAAGTATACAGTATTTAGTGAAATGCATTTAAGTTGAAATTTTGTATTATATTCCATACACATTATATTTATTGCATTTTAAATAATTCTTGTTTCAGATTTAAAAATAAATAGCGCCAAAAAAGATCAAAGGGTTGAAAAGAAGGACATTAATAAACCTGAAGCATCGGCTGGACAATGTTTGCCTGTGGAGTTAAGTGACCCTGATAATAATGAAAATACACGGTCACCTTCTGAATCAGAAACACCTGATGTCAAAAAGGAGAAGAAAACAACATCCAAAAAGAAACAATCTAAGCTTCCAAAGAAAAAAAGTCCAAAAACCAAGAAACTAGATGGATCTGATGAATCAGATGAAGATCTGAAGGCCATTGAGGAATCTAAGAGAAGAAATTCAACCTGCTTTATGAAAGGCTGTAAAGCAAGTGTAAAATTGTTCCCCCAACTTTGTCAACATTGCAATGAAGTGTTTTGCCTCGCCCACATGTTACCAGAAGTTCACGGATGTGGTGATGCCGCTAAAAGATCAGCAAGACGTAATTTTCGACTTAGTCAGGCTCCAAAAACAGCAGAAAAAGATAAAAATGTTGCCAGTCAGAAATTAAAACAGAAAGTTGCTCAGTTAGCTGCTGAAAGGAAACGTCAAGCAAAAAAATAAAATGTAAAAATTAATTACTGTGATAAATTCATTGTGTTCTCTGTGCATATATTATAAATGTTTTTAAAGTGGAAAAAAAATTGCAGCTATACATGTCTCAAAAGAAATAAATTGTCCGTGCAAAAACTTGTTTTATTTTATTCATACATTCCGAAGACACCTTAACAAGAATTGCTTTTTTTACGTATCCCAAAGGATTAATGTAAAATACAACGTTGAATTAGAATATGACCAACACAAGATATTGGTCACTCAATGTGAAAGTTCTCATCATCGTTTCTGGCTTGTGTACTGTTTTTACCCAAATATATGATGGCAACCTCTGCTTTTGAAGTGGACTCCTAAGAATTTCTAATTCTTACTGTTCAGTCAGAATAGAACCACATATTATCTTATTGAATAGAAAATCCTCTGATGAGACCATTCAATCTTTTTGGCTGAGCTTTCACTATTTTCATGTTCATTACATTTATCATGACTGTTGCCATCATTTCTGTCTCTACATTTTCATCTTTACGTGAATCATTTTCTTTCTTTCTGGTCATCATTTGTGCCTTCCTGAAAGTTTTAAGTGTTGAATTTGTGTTCTTAGTTTTTCATCTGAAGCCACCTAAGAACTATCTTTTCTTCCTTTCAAGCTTTTCTTCATTTTTGTTGTTTCATTCTGTAATCATTAACTTGAAATTCTCACTGTTAAATGTTTGCATAACTGAGTTCTGAACTGTGAACTTGTACATTTTCTACCTTCATTCTGCAGGTAGTGCAGTAGAGAGCAAAGTTTGTTTCGAAATTTTTGTTACGAATATTTTTTCTTTGTATGCATGTATGTGGTTTGGTATAGAATGCATACTTCTTTCTAGGTGAATTTTTTAATTTCGATCTCTTGCAAAATTCAGATTTGCTCTAGCTGGGTGTCAGCTAATATAATTACCATAATACAAATACCAATAAAACCCATTGTAGATCTGCTTGTCAACAGCCTTTGCAGCTCATCTGCTGGGCAAAAGCCTGTTGGAGATGGGGCATTGTCTTAGGAATTAAATGACTACTTGTTACAGACAGATTAAGATGATATACAGTAAATAATTATTTTTAGTAGCAAAGAATTTAACATTTCAAGATTGCTTTGTACTGTTTTGTTTTTGAAATAAAATTTACTAAGCTTTAGCATTTGGACTTAATTGGACTAATTTCAATTAAGATTTGCAAATTTCTTGAAAGAAAATACATCAATACATTGGGAATGCTTATACATTCCTCACAAAAGGGACAAAAAATATGGATTATCAAATAGGTTTTAAATAATTTCTAAGATTAATCAGCAATTTAAGCTCACCATGGAAATTGTATTATTTTTTATCACTAAATACTTTTACTCCAAAAACTTACTGGAGGGGGCTATGTTTCAGCATTGCCCAGGGCAGAAAATTTGCTCTGTCACTGCTTAGCATCCATCTGGTTCCCAACACTTCTCAAATTACATTCAAAAAGCGCAGGAAATTTGAAGTGAGCGACTATGAGTGACACAAATTTCACAAGACATACTCATATTTTTCATGACCTTATTTGAAGATCTGCTTGATGAAAACATTTCATGAAGAAAAAAATGTTTAAACAAAATTAAAAATTGCCTATATTTCACACAAAATTACGCAGAATGTACCCAAATTTTCAAAAAATTGTACACGAACTTATTTCAAAATCTATCTTTAAGGAACATTTCATTAAGGGAAAACATCTATCTTCATAATTGTGATTGTAGGAAAACGCCGGAAAAGTATTGAATTTATGCAATTTTCGAAAAATTAGACCTGCACCATTCTCTTACACTTCCATCACACTATTCAACAACAAAATTTAATCAAAAAGACACTTTTTTGAACATGTTTCAGGGGCGTTTTAACAATAGGGAGACCTTCGTTACAATTTTTTTTAACTGTTGTACGGAAAGGGGAAAGACCGAGGATCATCAATTTCAGTGAGAACAAACAGCGCATTCATTTACTAGGGAAAAGTTGTAAGAGCAAGGCAACAAACGAAACTACATATGCAGCACTCAGTTCTATATAGTCTTTACAACAGAATAATAACATTAGCCTCGAGAGGTTTGATGTAACCCATTGAAAATCAACTAGCTACTTGTCACCTGTTAGCGGTTGTTATAGGACACCATAATAATTAATCATGAAATAGTAATGTGCCAGTTTAAACATTTTCCGTTAGACACTAAAAACTCACTCAATCCTAATTATTCTCAGCACTATCAACACGTGGCAAGGAAGAAAGGCATAGAATTTTTCATGACAAAATAGTGAAAAATACAAATCTCTGTCATTTCCCAGAGTCCTATGCCAGTCCTGACCAATGTTCTTCCCCTCCTTAAATAAAAAAAATATATATAATGCAGAGATGCTCTACAGCTTTCTCCCCTCTTGGTCTCCATGCCTCTCTATTTGACCACAGATCATCTTGCATTTTTTCTCACCGTCATAGCCTCTTGCAATCCTTGCTTCCAAGCAAGACGTGGTCTTCCTCTCTTCTGTTTTTCTTTTGAAACCCATTGCAGGACTCATTTTGGCCACATTCGTGTCTCGTTCGCAGAATACGCCCGTATATGTATATGATATTATATATATATATATATATATA